GATGAATTCACCAATAGAGAATAAGGGAAGAGAGTACATAGATACTTGAATAAACGTTAATAGTATGTAAATAGAAATTTTATATCAGTGCATTTAGCAATTTAAAGAACTTGCATTCGGTGCCAAATGTTGTGAATTATAGCTTTCCTCTGATGCAGTTACACTATTTGAAATAACTAGCCAAGTATGTTGCTAGATTTGCTAGTAGAACAGAAAACATTGTCAATGAATAACTGGGAAAACCGAATAATTTGATTACATGCAAGAATGTATTTATTTATTTTATTTATATCAAATGGCAGGCGTCTTGATGGTTATCATTAGCCCTTTAGTTGACTTCAGTCTTCACATAGGGGAAGGAACAATGCTCAGAAATATGTAAGGTTTTGAAAGTATGAAAGAATGAGTATATTACAGTGTTTATGAAGTAAAATATATGGCAATCAGGAACTCGAATCGATGAGGGGTGGTTAATGTCGGATTGGACAGAATATTAATGCTTTATTTGGAATAAAGGAGGCGTAACATGAATACCCGAAATAATAGTGGCATTCAAATTGAAATAAATTCCACCCACCCAATTTCCATTCTTCGCTTTATGGTTGCTGTGCCTGAAGACTTTAAACGTGAACTCATCAAGTATTACCCTTAACCAAAAAATGACAATATTCAGAGCCTCTATCAAGCTTGAATCCGCATGCTTGTAAAAATTCCAAGGGAGACTTGAACCATAGCCAGACCGTACTTTTCATCGACTTAGTCACGTTGAGTTTATCTCCATCTTTCCGGTCGCATTCCATCGACGCTTCAACCGTTCGAATTTCAATTACCAACTCTTTGTCCTTATGCTCCAGACGTATCCTGGATCTGACACCTGTTCCTATAACAACCACTCAGTTCTTTTCTCTCCTACACTTGCCCGTTAAAACATTCACTCAGTCCATGCATCTGACTTCCCTCTATCCACGACTCATCTTATCTTCTGTTTTATTCCAACCTTCTCTCCAACTTCTAAGTCTCTTTAAAATATTTGCAAGATTGGATTACTCGCATCTTTCCTCTTGGCATTCAATAACTCTATTTACCCCGGAACAAATTTAAATTCATTTACATTCTGTCATTTGCTCTCATTTAATAAATATTATTCATGTTGTGAGCTATTTAAATTAACCTCCCTTATTTTTCTATTGGATTAACTGAACGGGGAATTTCTTCCATTAGCTGCAGTGCCTATAATAGAGCAAAAACAGTTTACGTTCTGTGGGATTTATGTTATGCATTGCGTCATAGTTCAGCGAAAATAAGGTAAAAGAGCAAGTCGAATCACTTTACCACTTCAAAATTATTTATCATCACCGGTATAGTACCAGATTGTTTGCTGTACTCGCATAATTAAGTTTAAATTGGTCATAACGAACGCACGTGGAGCTCAAGTCATGCGGTAGTGATGTCCTGATAGCGTAGCCAGTAAAAAATAATTGTGATCATGAACTCTTGGCGTTTATTTTTCTCATGATCGATGGTCTTTTGGACACTCCTGCTTAAAAGTACATTCAAATGAGCATCGATTTTCAATGGTTAATTCACAGGGTTACAATAAACTATAAATCGATTTGTCACAGTTTCCTACTTGCCATGGCTTATGTTTATCCTATGATTAATGCTTCTAAGATCAACTATCCGCCACCATGCTGTCTAAGAGACCCATCTAACCCATGCCAAATACCCATTTTCTCAAAACGACGTCTATTCAGACTCTAAAAACGGGAAGAAAGAAGATCTATCATTCAGATAACGATTCACTATTGGGTAAATAAGTGCGTTTATGGTGAATTTGGCCTGGACTAATTGATTGACTGGCTAGTTGACGCAGCAGACTTTTGACTTTAGAATGGATTGATGTACAACCATCATGGAGTCATCGTCCAGAAGCTTAATATTAGGTCATCCAGACAATAATTCGAATCCTTAGACATCTGCAGCGACAATAAGCTACCAATGGTTTAACAAGATTTAGTATTTTTTCTCCTTTATTTGTTAGGTGATTGAAAGTTAGGCACCAGTGACCCAATGAAGGACTGGAAATGTTTCAAAACAATTACAGAGATGGGACTGATTTCAAATAGTGAAGTAAACTGTAACTTTCCTCCTTTCAGCTTAGTAGAGTGCCTTAAAATTATGCACTTCTTGCCAATGTAAAGTACTTTAAATATAATATAGAGTAATAATTCGTTTTTCTGACCATTTAATTTGTGACGCAGCTTCGATTGGTTAGCAATGTTTAGAACAAATCGTTTTAAAGTTTTATGTTTATTTATTTCGAATGGCGGGCATTTTGATAGTTATCATTAGCCCTTAGCTGACTTCGAAATTCACAGAGGAGAGAAACATCAAAGTTCATGTATGTGGACCGAAGAGTGATTTGCAGATGTAAAAGAGACAGGCACAATGATAGAGGGTAGGGTAAGGTGAATACTGTAGAAGTGGTCAACTATGACATACAGTGAGGTCATGGTAGTTTTAAGTCAGAAGTCAACTGCCGAATAATAGACCTTTTTGCCGTATGAGTATACGTTGCCCAGAGACCACGGACTCTTTTGCCGTGTATACGTTGCCCAGGGTGCACCAGTTTGTTTGCCGTATGAGTATACGTTGCCCAGGGTGCACCACGTGATAGACTTACTTGCCGTATGAGTACACGTTGCCCAGGGTGCACCACGTGGTGCCTTATGAGTATACGTTGCCCAGGGTGCACCACGTGGAGCCGTATGAGTAAACGTTGCCCAGGGTGCACCACGTGGAGCCGTATGAGTATACGTTGCCCAGGGTGCACCACGTGCCGTTTGAGTATACGTTGTCCAGGGTGCACCACCTGGAGGTAAGTCTATCGTGAGTATACGTTGCCCAGGGTGCACCACGTGGAGGTGTATGAGTATACGTTGCCCAGAGTGCACCACGTGGAGGTAGGTCTATCGCACACCACAAATTGTTGCAAAGTAGAAGATATTGAATAACATGATAGCTCAAATTGTTACATAATCACCTCGAATATCAAAGAACGTTGTATATTACGTGAACAACGTCTCTTGCGAATAGCGTTAACGCATCTTCTGGAACCTTGCATTATCCGCTTTGGAGGGCATTAAATCCGCCTTTGCATTGCAGTTCACCCACTAGAATAAAGCTGCGTACTTTCCCGAATCAGAAGTAAGGACACGAATTCAATGCAATATTAAATAATAGTAATATAATGAATAACAGTTAGCATATCAGTACTATCCCACGACCTACATATGCCTCAACAAAATTACCCCAACGGTTATAAAAGTAACAAATTTAGGAAATATATTACGATTTATAAGTTGTTGTTATTTTCAGTAGTGAGTCATTTGTACAAAATTAATAAATAACATTAAACATCAAAACAGTGGAGTTCATTCCTTGTCTTCGATAATAGGCTCCTTAATAAACGGATGATTAAGAGCATCATTAAGAGCAATCCGCTTAGCTGGATCAAGCATTAGTAATTTATCCAGAAGGTCTTTGAACTGCTGTACCTTCTTCAATTGACCTGGAGTCAATTGACTGTCCGCTGTAAGGTCACCAAGAAGATCCCGTGTGATTTGAATATTCCTGATCACTGAGGTCTTTGGCTGAAATGAAACAAATGCAAGCACCATTAACAGACTAACTACTATTAAGATAAAAGTAATATGAATGCATACCTTCTGAGTAACCTTATCAATTTCATGATAGAGAAAATTGCATTGATCATCAAAGTGTGCACCACGTAGAGATCCTCTTCTGATAACCTTATTAGGAATGCGACCTCGAGTCTCCATGAACAACCGGAGCATTTCGTTATTAGTCTTTCCCGGGAACATAATTCGGCCAGTGTAGAGTTCGTAGAGGCTTACAGCAGTCGACCATAAATCGATGTTGAAATCGTATTGAAGACCCAGTACTAATTGACGAGAAGGGAAAAAGAAGCCAAATCGGTGAGATTGGTTATTAAGTCAAACCAACTACCCCTAGAGACCCATTACATAATAAGGCTTCCAGATCTAATTTCCACGAAAAACGACAAATGTTTGAAATTCCAAAGACTTAGCAATTAATCATGTCAGATAAGAAAAGCTAAGAGTTTGTTCAAGCTGCAAATTTTGACGTATAATTACAGGTTAGTGACTATGAAAAACCCCAATGTTTAAGACTGACGATACTAGACGTCACCTTTTTCGTTCCCCGAGAGATGGAGCTGTTAATAAGAAAGTAAAAATGACTATAACCATGGTCCAATTGACTTCAAAACTAAGCTATAACGGCTAAAAATATGACATATATTTAACATCAGGAATTGACACCAACACCGATCTGAGTTCTATGATTCTCAAACACAATTCCTTAAATTCAACGCCCTTATCCTTATTAAACACAATACGAGGTTCTACTCATCCCAATTAACTGGTATTGAGATATGAACTCTAACTGGTCATTTCACTTTGACGCAATCTATCGAAATAAGTGCTTCATTACAAAATTATGTAAACAGAGCATTTTGACCAGTAGTTAGCGCGTACATCAGTCAAAGCAGAGATCGACACTCATCAATACATATACACAAATGTTGATGATGTTGGGGAATACCAGAAAGACACCGCCCTTCTATCTAAGCTGGGTCATGTTACAAGTCATGTCAATGAACTCAAAAGTATTTTAACTAAAATTATGTTTCCCAGATACTTTAAATCTGCACAATATTAAACTCTTGTTCTGGTCCCATAATCACACAATGTGACTTAGTAAAATCGTTCTTTCTGAGGTCTTGGAACTAGCCACAAAAGAGGAAAAACCAGCGAATCTTTAAACTGCACTAGCTCAAAAGCCTGTCATCTAGGATGATAATACGTCATGGCCAATAGAGAAGTACGAAGGAACTTCCTTACTTTTACCCTAATAAACACAACACTACTAATTCCGTGGTATTAACATAATTGACACAAAATCCCCAAACTATTGTTGATCCTGGTCCATACTTTACGCATACGTTAATACTAGCACAAACAAAAAAGAACAAAAAATATTTGAAACACGAATCCCTATAGAAAATAATAAAGTAAACTAAAATAAGGGTATGTTGACCTAAAGCTTTACCATAAAAAATGAATACCGAGTGAAATAGAGAGAATTTTCTCTTTCTCTCTGAGCAGTTTCCAGTTAAGTGGCCAAGACGGATTGAGATGTCATACTGCTTTGCTCGTCATACTTCTGGTGAATAAGACAAAACAAGCAATTAAAACAAAAATGGGGGAGGAACGAAACACAAAATCAAGAATGGGAGAAGCCAAAATGCATAGAAGGACGGAGTCGAACTTACTAATTTCAGGGGCACGATAAAAACGCGATACGAGGTAAGGTGTGGGTTCGTTCTCCAGTACCGAGCAAGCAGATCCAAAATCAGAGAGCTTGAGGGTTATTTTATTCTCATTAACCAATATGTTGTCCGGTTTGATATCGGCATGGAGGATATTACACTTACGTAATAACTTGAGGGCTAGGAGCATTTGGTGGGTATAAGAACGCACAGCAGCTATATTTAGACCTACATCTCGTCCGTATTTCTTCAAAACTTCGCGCAAATTCATGCTCATAGACTCAAAGACCATGCACAAGTGGTTTTTGTGGAAGAAGTGCCGATAGAGTCGCATACAATGATAGCGGTCCTGTGGATCTGTGTCGTTGAGTTTTTTTAGGACTTCCAGTTCTTGAAGACCTGACCTGTGCCTAGATTATCACGCACGTGTATTAAAATAGAGATGAAGAATTAGATCATGTTATTAGGTTATATTAAGCACTATAAGAATGCAAATACTTAAAAGCCTTCTTATAGAGAAAAAATTTAAACTTACATAACTTCATTATTTCGTATGATCTTGATGGCTACTTCAAGATGTCCACGCGCACTATCCCGAGCTCGAACCACGTTGGAAAAGACACCTCTACCGGTGTAACCATAGACAGCATATCGATTATCAAGAACCTCACCAATGCGTACACCTGAAAGGTCAATTACAGTCATTGAACCACAAGAAACATCAAACCTCAGAATAATATCATACAGTAAAACACGAATACTCCATTGTATCACAAAGTCTGAAACCATGAAAAAGAAATGAAATACGTCGATACACACTTGGTTATGCGAACAAGAAGAAAACAGTGAATATGAAATACAGCTCTTGTACTTACCTACGATCCTACCTTAGACTGATTAGTTATCATTCAGCAACGAGAAAGCAAAGACGATAAAAACTTGCCGAGGGGTGAACTGATCAAGTTTATTGAAAAGACAACATTCTTAATTTGTACTAGATGTGGTGGATAAAGATAGACGAAGGTTACAAACGTATAAATAAAATCCTGGAGACCATTCAATCAAGCAAACATATTAAATAAGATGGAGTGACCAAAATATATAAGCCAATGTATCCGTTAAGTTCATTTCTTACACAGAGGGAAAACATTTGAAAAAGCCGACCATTTCAACGGTTGACAAACTGATTATAATCTTGAAATCAAGAATGAAACAAATTAAACTGTTAAATAATAAAACATTAACGATTCTATACTATCCATCAATTATATCTTCTCAATACGAGATTAAACAATGAAATAATGGATCAATAAGAAACCTTCATAAAAAGGCATCAAAGAACTTACAATAGTAGCCCTCAGCATCATCCCAATTGTCGACCAGAGCGTGATTTTCGGAAGCCATGGCCCTTGGATCCATAATTCCAGGCACACCATTGGCTGGAGCAGTAGGAACCTCACCCGAGAATATATCAAAGGCGAATTTTTTCCCACCATCAGTCTGTTCAGCATTCTCAGGCAATTTTGCCGATGAATGTTCTTGAAGAAAAGCCACAGCAGCCGGAGCTTGAGTACCAGACATACGTCCGTTCGGAGAACTATCAACAGCATCTGCAAAAATAGCTGAATCTGACTTGAAAACAGGTTTCGTATTCGTCTTCATTAGGCTGTTTTCAGGTAGTAGTTCAAATTCTTCTTCGACTTCCTTGGGTGATGCTTCAGTATCTGAAGAGGGAGGGGAATTCGTCTTATAACCAAGATTTTCGAGCAGTCTCTGACGCTCCTGACGTCGTCTCTCGATAAGGGCCTCTTCATCCTCTTCCTCCACAGTAATATCTACATCACTAAGTTCAGAAGATTTGTTCAATTCATGAGAAGACCTTTTGCGATCCTTATCATGATGATGATGTTTCTTGTGGTGCTTTTTATCCTTATCTTTTTTCCGGCGGTCACTATGGTGCCTATGGTGACGCGATCGTTCCTTTCTTTCCTCTGAATGATGATCACCTCTACGGGAGCTTTCTTTTTGCTTCTCGTCGACTCTATTGTTGTCATCTAAACCTTGCTGCAACCGAGTCATCTTATCTTTCAAGTAAGAACTCAGATCATTGCGTTCTGATCTATGTAAAGACTTGTAAGGACTCCTTGAACGACGATGGCTTCTACTATCACGATAAGCATATTGACGATTATATCCTCTTGAATAGCGATCTTCTCTATCAACACTTTTATAAGAATCCTCCCTATGGCTAAAATAGAAACAGAAATCCCATAAAAACTGATTCACTTAATCATGAAATTTCTGCGTAATTATTGATTAAAACAAAATAACAAAGATAATTCCATAAATGTTAAAGCGAGCAATCACCAAAACCTACCCACTCATTGCGATTAATGACGAAGAGCTGTCGTAGATACGATAATACAATTTGACTGCCAGTCAAAAATATTTAAACAAACATTCGGTCAAATTTATCGAAACTGTTAAATTTATTCTCAAACAAACAAAACCAATATATTTTAAATGACTGAAATACGTTTTAGCATACGATCTTTCATCACCAAATAAAATCATTTCTGAGAAAATTCGCACCAAGATATTTAATAAAATATAATTCAAGATTCATTTTTAATTATCGGAAGAAAAGCACATAAATGAAAAAATCGATAATTGATACAATTTTAATTTCATATTTTCAGCGGTGTAAAATATTTTCAATCTCTAGTCCTAATAATTAATATATCTATTTCATTGTATCGCATTATTTATGCTCGAATATGTCCACATTATTTAAAGTAATATGTCATTATATTATGTTTTACATTTTATTTTGTTAAAATTTTGCTCTTGTAAATGATAATAAATAGTCCGATTAACTAGACACCACTTAAACTACTGTCAGTCAGATATGCATTATCAATCTATAAAATATTCTTCCATAACTGATAAAATTCATTCAAATTCAAATAACGTTAAAGTTTTTCTGCCTTGAGGTCAGGTACTACTTGCCTGTAAAGCTTTTATTCTGCTTTGAATATTCTTTGTAATCCATGGGTTTTTTAAATCAGGTAATTACTCTTCAATGCCATCTCAACGCCACCCCCCCCCCCTCCAAAATGTCTCCTGTTATACATTCATATTATTTATGAGCAATTGTGGCAGATCGTCTAGAAGTAACAGATTTGATATCAACACCTGAGTGATGTTGTTTTTACTGCTATTGTCTGAAGAAACGAATAAATATTAATTGATGCAAATGCACTTTACTCATTTATGAAATAAGATACAACTTTAATAAGATATAAAAAATGAACCATGCGAATATAAGTGCATTTTTCCGGTTTCATTAAAATATGTCTCTTGGTCTAAGATACCTTAAGAATTTCGGTTATTATTTTCCTGTGTTACGGCGCACCTTGAGACATTCTGGCAGTAATCAATAAAATGAATCATTTAAAGTGAAATTAAGGGTTGGTATTAAATAATTAACTATAACTTCGTCTCTCAAGGTATTGCACTATCTATAAAATAAGATGATATCAAAAATCCTGAGAATACATCAACTAAAGAACATTAATAAATAACTAATCTTAACCCGCCGTTGTGTTTGATGTGGCCACCAATTGTCCATAAATAACCTCCCTTATATGTGCAAATAATAAAAGACTAAAACATTGGTTAATTTTGTTGGATCATGTATGATTAGGCACGATGGGAAAAAAGATTAGATTCAAAATCAAAAACTAATTGAAACCCCGAACAGGGCATGTTTAATTGATTCAAAATCTGTTTCGTTGATTTGTTGCTTCTTTTGTAATATCGGGATTAACCACTTCATGAAACTTTATTTAAAATTTCATAGCAAAGAAGTTAAGTGATTGTACTATGTTACACGTTAGAAGTCAGTTGTTTGACAGGCACATGACAAAGTTAAAATGAAGAAAATAGGACCATTTTAATTTAAAATGATTGGTACTCATACAACACTAGAAGCAAATTTATTTTAAGTGATCAGATCGGCGTGTGCGGAGATGTAAGACAAATTAAATGGTAGATGCTAAAAATTTCAATGATGTTCATTTAGCATATGTGCAAATCGATAAATCAATCGTGTACTTATTCTGTGATCCGTGATTGCTGTGATCTCAATGAATCACAAATGGAATAGATGCAAATAGGACAGTTAAACAGGAAAGGTTATATCAGCGACCTTCTTCTTAGCATAAAGCTGCCACTTTTACATGTAATTTAGAGGCCAGTTTGTCGAAAAAGTTAATTGTTGTCATTTCAGCCAGCCAAAACGATCCATACTAAGATGTAAAGGGAAAAGTGTAAATAAGCCAAGGTCAGCCAAACGTTAATTTACCTCGAATAGCAAAATAATGAAATGCCTGTATGTTTTCATAAAGGTATTACCGAATTCAAAATTTATTTGTGTCTGCAATTTCTAAAATCTTTTTCATTTGCTGTAATAGTAGTAGTTTGGGGGTGTGCGATAGACTTACCTCCACGTGGTGCACCATGGACAACGTATACTCATACGGCAAAAAAGTCTATTAACCGGCAGTTGACTTCTGACTTAAAACTACCATCACCCCACTGTATGCCATATTCGACATCTCTCACAGTACTCATCTCACCTTTTTTCTACCTTTTTACCTTTGTCTTTGATACACTTCTGTCACCCCCTTCCCTCTCGACTTTTTTTCAATTTGATGTTCCTGAAGTCAACTAAAGGGCTAATGATTACTATCAAGACGCCTGCCTGTTAACTGAAGTGTCAAAAGTACCAAGTGGTTAATCGCAAATCAGTTTATGCACCAGCTTCAATTGACAAAAAAGACCATTTTGGAAAGGTAGTGAATTCCCCTACCTGGTGCTGTGGATCACTAAGTCTTGAAAAACCTTTCTTGTATGAAGACTTGTATTTCAGAGAGGGCTCAGAAGTCAACATTTTGGTAGGCCGTCACAAAAGGTCAATTCCTATTGCTTCATATCAGAATGTCCCTTCAATCTTAATTTTGACAATTAACTCTTAAACTGAAGTCAATATTGGAGGCAGTTTCGCTCAAAAACTATACCATCAATAATTAAATTAATTGATTGTTTCGGAATGAGGACTCGATAACCTTTACACGATCTCCGAGGTATATGAGTATTGGCATCATTATGATTACTCCGAAAGGATACTTTCATCATTCAGGCGGTGAACTGAGTTTCAACAGGTAGTTATTTGATAAGAAGCGAGTAACTGCTCGTGTTATTAGGCTGAATTAACAAATACAACACCAACATAGACGTTTGACCGCCAGCATACACATTAATACACTTAGAGAGCGTAGATCACTTGGGAAGGCAGCCTACTAAAATACACCCGTCTTTAGTCCCCTTCTTGCTAGAACGAGGTTAGAGGATACCATTTCAATATGGTCACTTGCCATCACCTTGAATGCCTTATTGACCTAAACTCCATACTTTCATGGACGCTTCGCACCTTTTCATTTATACACCGAGTTACCTATTGGACATACTTATTTATACCTACAAACGATTATTGTTAAATTAATGCTGCGTGTTTTGTGTAGCGATTAGAATACTCATATGTAATACCAGAATTAATAATCTTGCTACTTATCTATGTATATTCAGTCCCACTCTTTAAGCTCTACTTATAAAGGGATGGGAGGTAAGGGGGGGGGGGGGAGGAAGTGTTACAATTCGAGGCGTCCGTACATGATAAGCTTTGAAAAATATTTTTTGAAAAAAAAACATTAAAAAAGGCATTGAGACTTCACCTCGAGAATTATGTTGGATCTAGTCAATTTGCAGTTTTTTTTCAAACAATCAAACTTACCATTGGTCTGCATTATTATCAGAGAGGGATCGCGGAGACCACAACGCTATCATGGCTGATCCAAGGTGTCTCATGTGCGCTCAAACAGTCTGGAGCATACCGCCACGTTACTAAACGCGTTAAGGAGCAAAGTGGTCGTGAGTGCAGAGACCTCTTAGCCAATCACCACTCAGTTTCCACTTCATGGACAGCGTTGCCAAAACTGCATTTAATGGCATCACAAGCCATAGTAAAGGCTATTCACATCATGCGCTTTGTTTCCTCGATGCTGTGGAGGTAGCTTAGCAAACTTCTGAATCAATTCCTTGCTAGGGAATTTTGCCATAGAGATTGATGTGGTTTAGTCGAAGCATTCGCAATGGTCTGAATAAAAAGATTTGAGAGCTAAATTATCGATTTGTAATATTTACGAACCACTTCATTGAGCTTAACAAGTAGGTCAGTTGGATTTTGCTGTGCTAAGTTTATTATTATAACTTGAATATTACGGCTTATTTCAGTCTAAATTTAGTGTGCTTATTTAGTTCTCTGAAATCATTCACAAAAATTGACTACAGTTTCATTAACAGAATACTTTCAAGGTATTAATTGGGGAACATGGTTTATCTTATTGGTTCATATTTAATTTTATATTTGTAAAATGCTAATTCTTTCTTTCTGTTGCAATTTAAAAAGCAAATTCTCTGAGAAATAAAAGGGGAACCAATGGAAATAAGAAACATTTTTGCAAAAAAGAACTAATTAAACTATTAAAAATATTTATTCATTTCAAAAATATTGGAGCTGTGAAGAAATAGACCCTTTGTGGGACACTCCATCAATAACCAAATAGAAATCCTGCTATAGAA